CAGTTGAGCTGCAGGTTTATCCATGCTCAAAGCAGAACAGCTGCCTGTGACTAAGTCACCGTGGACACCCAACTGCCACCTCCTGCAGTGGCTTTTGGCAAAGTGTAAACATGGGCCTGTACCCCAGCATGACTGTGAGCCTGAGCTCTTCCCATGTGCCTTCTTTGTCCTTGGTCAGAAATGTGGTCCTTGGCAGGCTGCAGGGCAGCAGATCTGCAGGAGGCAGTTTTGGGGGTCAGTGTGTTTGTGCACACCTCTACTGAGTGCTGGAAAAACTGACCTTACTGTAGTCTGGTACGTCTGGCTGCCCTGCTCCAGGGTAAGCCCAGAAAAAGCGAAAGGGTCAAGCTGCTAAACAGGGCTCTGGGATAAATGACAAAAGATATGGCTCAGGATTACTGCACCAGCACACTGTCCTTGAGGGGGTTTGAGGGTGCCAAACCTCACGCCTTGGTGTTCTAAGCATGATTTTCTTTAACAGCATAAAAGCACAATGGGAATGGCTGGGTTTCTGCAGATTTTTGTTGTTGTTTGCTTAGCTATGTGGAAATATATTTGATTGGAAGACAGAGAGGTTAAAAATAGGACATTAATATGATACTATTTTTTTAATCAAACAAAATGCTTAGAAAATGCTTATCTTGTCTGATGAGAACAACAAAAACAGAGGCCAGCACTTCTCTGCAGCTCTCTTTAATGAGCTAAATTGGGCTGCATTCTTGATACCTCTAGAAGTTTTGGGGTGAAATGAAGGAAGTTCTGAGCAGAATTCCTTGTAACCACAAGCGTTGGGTGTGCCTGAATGTAGAGCCAAAAGCATCCTTTAATTGTGCTGGTTTTCCTCCTCTTATTTTTAATGGAAGACATTCCCATTTGAGAACCTTAGAAGCTGACATTAAGGGCTGGATTCTGCCACCCATATTGACACTGGTGTGTATCAAGCTCTCTGGTAACTCTGGCAGCCAAGGGGGTTGTTTGTGTGGTGCAGCGAGATCTGTGATGTGCAGAGGAGGCAGGACTAGAAGCACGGCGTATTACAGGTCTAGGGAGGGGTGTGTTATTAGATTTTTCAGAATATGTTCACAGAAGTTGTATTTACTTGTAATGCAGTGAGCTCAGATGCCGTGGGTGAGTGGGGGAAAAGGTGGTGAGATAGTGTCTCCTCTTTTCCTTCTTCATGCCAATAAATGTAGCTATAGATGAAAATTTTCTGTGAATAGCTCCAAAAGTTTCTGTATGTTAGCATTTCTTAAATGAAATAATTCTCCTGGAAAGCTCTGTGTAACATACACAGACCCCAAAGAAATAAATAAAACAAAATTTTAAAATTGTAACCAAAAAACGCCAAGTTGAGATTTTTAACAGTAAAAGGAGATTTTGTGTATTAATAATTCATGAGTTCTCATTGAACATGCACGAAGAAACGGTGCTATTCAATAGAGAATACTGTCATCTGTCACTGTTTTATTTGACATTTACACTTTTTTTTTTTTTTTTTGCCTGGTACTGCAAAACTTTCTTGGATGGCGTGCTAAGATTATTTAAATAAATAATTAAAAAAAGCCGATGCAGACTTTTCATCTGTGCATGGGGAAGGCGGTTACTTGCAGCCATAAAGAACGTGTGAGTAAGCTGCGGCACGCTGTGTTTTCTCACGTATTAGTCAAAGCTATTGCCTAATAAACAGCCCCATAGATGGATAGAGAGGGTCTTGAATGAAGGCTTGAATAAAGACAGGGAAGGATAGAAAAAGAGTAGTGAAAGGACAGACTTGATGCAGATAAGTGTACACATGCACGCAGTGGGTGTGCGTGTGTATGTGTGGGGGTGAGCGAATAATGGCTCTTGTGAAGAAAGCTGACACAAATACATTGCAAAAATAAATATTTATAAATGGCGTTGGGGGAGATCCAGTCTCGCACAACGTGAGAGAAGACAGGGCATTTAGCACAATGACAATTCAGTTAGGCACACCTTGCAATTTCTTGCTAATATTAGGCTCGTGGAAATCTTTCTGCTCTGTAGGTTAGTTATTATTTATAAAAATCACAGAACCAGCTGATACATTCATAAGCTAATTATTGTAGCAGCTGGGTACACATGGTGCAATATGTCTGAGGCTGTGAAGTATCACAGATTTCTTGGGGCCTGCTGTGGTGGGGGTGTGCTGTTGAAGGCTAGATCCCTTAATCTGATCAGCCAAGCAAATACTTTGTGGGGAAACTGGATTAATATCTCTCTAAATACCACGGATGTGCTTCACCTTCAGAACCAGGCTCCTTTAAACGTGCCATTAGCTTATCTCCTTTGGGAAATGGAGAAGTTCTCAGGTGTCCTCGGGATGGAGGGGTCCTTGCCTGGTGCCTCCCTTTGCCAGAAATTAATTTGGTTTGCTCATGTCTGCACACATGGTCACACTGCAGTCTAATCTTTTCCCTAATAGCTCCAAGGTCAGGACCTCGCATGTTGCCAGGCAAATTGAGCGCTATCCTTCTTAAAGACTAATGGCAGCGAGTGCCTAGTCCGTAATGAGGCCTGTAGTGTTGCTCTAAGTGATTGTAATGAGCGCTGATTATAACGGGACAGATAAATCAAAGCGCGCAGTCACCGTTGGGCTGCCCGGTCCAGCCCTGCCAAGGGGAGCTGGCCCTGCCCAGCTGGGCCTGGCTTCTGCCAGAGCCAGGCACCCCATCCTCCCACAGCTCTGCCCAGCAATGTGCTCCACCTCCACCAGGTGCAGGGCTTACTCTGTATTTTCTGCTACATGGTGGGTCTTCGTGCTGCAGCATCCCCCAGCAGGTGTTAAACATACCTGCTTGAAACATCTTGAAAGAGTTCAGTTGGAGACTTATTCAAATCACTGAAAACAGGGAACAACAGGAATTGATTTTTTCCTACAGATGGTTTATTTTCTGTTTGAAAAAATGATTTCCTCGATGTGGAGGAACCCCTGAGAAAACATTGCAGAGCTGGGAGATTTTCTTCCTATATTTTCTCTAAAAGAAACAAAGTTTTGGGGGATTTCTGAGCAGTGGAAGGAGGACGGTTGAGGGTAAGGGATGTGGCCAAACCACATTAAAATGCAGACTTCACCTGGCTGAGAGATTGCCCGAATACCAATCAAAACACTTCGAAAATACAACACAGAGGGTTTTTTTTCCCTAAGTAAATTATTATATATCTTGTTTTCATCCTTGCCCCCCCACCCCCCAGCCCTCCAAGTTTATTGCAAGAAAAGATCAGGTCTGCACAAATGTGGCCTCTCACTTGTAAAAACAAGGCAGTGTTGTGTTACAGATTAGTTTATAAATCCCTGGTGGCTTCACAGTTCAGTGCCTACAGCTGCTGCAGATGGGCCTGGGTTTTTGTCTCTTCGCTGTGCTGCAGCCGGCAGTTGAAGGAGAAAATGGAATGATCAGGTTATTAACATGTAGGCCGTGAGGAAGAGGCTGCACAATGAGAACAGCTGGTGTTGCTGTCTTGGCTGATGCAGCGGAGATAATCAAATCTTGCCTTTTTTGGGGGGGTGAAGGCAGAAGACACAGTGGAGAGTAACACAAACAACGGCTTATGATATTATACACGGGGTTTAGAGTGCACGGTAGAAGTTGTCAATGGCTTACAAGTTGTTACACAAAAAAGCAATACCAAAAAGCCCCCCTGTGGGCTGGTAATGAACCCGGCTGTACAGCTTGCTCTGGTCACTGTTCAGAAAAACACAATTTTGGCTACTTCTTCTACCAAACGTTTTTAACATTGATCAAGCTATCTTTTAGGTATTGTAAGGTGCCTGTCAAAATGGTGTCAGAATGCTGAGCTGTAGCTTGAAAATGATGGGTTATAAAGCTACTAGGTAAAATATTTTGACAGGAGTCAGTAAGGCGCGTTGACAGCATCCTCGGCATTATCTTCTCATCTTCTGTCATTTGCATTGCGTCTCCTGTGCTGGCACAGGAGGGGAGCCACTGTCCCCAGCCCCAAGTGGGCCGGCTGCTGGCAGGCGGGACGGGCTGGCTGTGTCCCCACGCCGCGAGGAGCGGCAGCAGCCACGATCCCTGGCTCACCTGCTGGGGACTCCGGTCACGTTCTGCTCACCCGGGACTGTCCTCACCCCAACAGCTCCTGTCCTTGGGCTCTCCTTGCCCTTGGGGTTCAGGGTCATCTCCTCTTCCTGGAGTGCAGATGCTTTCACCTCAGAGCTCTGAGCAGTCAGTCCTGTGGAGAGGTCCTACAGCTCCTTCCGTATAGCAGTAACCTTTTAAAGGCATTTCAAACTAACCTTGATACAAGACAGCACAAATAAAATATGTTCTTACTACGATCTGTAGTTGGGTTTAGAATTACCTCTGCCTGGTGTTTTGGTATCTTTAGTAACTTCTGTGTGACCCTGCTTTCTGCCTTTGTGCTAGATGCTCGAGGGTTCCCTTTATGTAAGGCTGCATCTTCTCTTAGATTTTATTATTTAAAGATCTAAAATTTCAGTGGGGTTCAGAGCTGGAGGAGTCAGTGCAACATAGTGTCAGCAAATCAAGAGTCTTGATAGTATATTCTCCTAGACATTTGGAGTAGTGTTGAATTTCTGGTTCTGTGGCTGCAAGTTGCAGTGAGGATTGTTAGCAAGTCTCAGGAGTTACGTCTCCTTTTGCTTGGATGAAAAAAGAAGGGGCTCTGAAATGGAAGTGAAAATGCATCTCTGTTTCATCTTTGTTTTTCTGTAGGAAAAATATTTATATCTGAGCATTTTGAACATGGTGTGAATACGATGAGGACAAGGCACTGGTTTTCACTAAGCACTGCTGCTTGTTTCAGTTTTTCTGACTTGCAGGAAATAGACTATATCATGGATTTGAGACCAAATGACAGTTTGGGGTGATGGGTGTTTATGTGTGAGATGAGACCAGCAAAACTTCCAGCACAGAGCTTTAAGTCTAGCTGACCTCCTGCTCACATCTGGTTCCTTGTTGCCTCGTGAACTAACTGTGCTGACTCTACCATTGCAGGGCTGGCTGTGTGAACTGCTGCGCTGGAAAGAAAACCCAAGCCCAGAAAACCGCACCCTCTGGGAGAACCTCTGCACCATTCGCCGCTTCCTGAACCTTCCCCAGCACGAGAGGGATGTGATCTATGAGGAGGAGTCCAGACACCACCACAGCGAGCGAATGCAGCACGTGGTGCAGCTCACGCCCGAGCCCGTGCAGGTCAGAGCACTTCTGCCTCCTCAGGGTGTCTGTGTGGGAGGGCTGGGGTAGCACAGGGGGTTTCAAGAGTGCAACACAGAGATGGGCTTTTTATGTAGTGACTGAAACTTAAAAGTTCTTCTGAAATGACCATGCTGAGCATTTTGTGAGGAACAGGCCTTCGTTTCACAGCCTCATTGGGATTGTTTCACTCCTCTATACATTTCTGACTAGTATGAATTTTTGGTTGTACACCCTTGTTCTACTCTTGTCTCAGGTATTAGTAGAATGAGAAATAAGTACAAATATGTGTATGGAAAATCAAGTGAAAATACTACAGACTCTTCTTTGCAGTTCCAGCTTCAGTCAGAAGAAAAAATCAGAAAATGTGTATTCCTAATAACTAGTAATGCATGTCACAAACTCATACATCTACAGATGGTCAAGAGAGGCTCAGGAGACATTTCTTCAATGTAAAAAGCTGAGGCAACACCTTCCACAGCAGCTCTTCTTCCCTTCAGCCCTCCAGTTCAGCCCCTGGCACTCGGTACCATTCACTTGGTGCTAGATTATGTGACCACTCTGGGGGTTGTTTGTACTGTGCATTTCTCTGATAATCTTGCAGTTCCTCCTCCCACCTTCACTCTCCCTATTGTTTGATGGTGGATTGCACTGCTTTGCTACTCTTGCTGTGAACCTTGGCATTCAGCCTCTATTCTTTGTTGCTGCTCTTATGCTGCTACCACTGCTGCCAGCTATCTCGCCCCCTTTTTTCTAAAGGCAAGAGGTTTCTCTGTCTTGTCCTGCCCATCTGAAACATGTAGGTCTCACTCAGATTAAGTATTGCCCAGCTCAGTCCCTTTTGTCTCCTCTGATAACTTCTTTCTCCTTGCTTTCCTTTGTGTCTTTGCCTAAAAGAAAAAAAACCCCTGTTTTCTTGGGTTCGGGTTCTCAGAACTGTAAAGAAGGGGAAGCATTCTAGGTAATTAATTTAGCAAATTTTGTATTCCACATCCCAAAAAGTTTATGGGATCTTGGAAGCAAGAAGCTGCAAGCAGGTAAAGAAAGGGCCAAGCTAACATGTGAGAAGACAACTAGACCTCTGTAGACTTAAACGTATTAAACCAGTTCTGATTCCCACAGTAAGTGGGAATATCCTCTAAGGGACAGAAAAGTTTCCCTGGAATCTTGTGATTGACCTTGATGATTAGCCTACTTTCCAAAGCCTTCTGCACATCACTTTTCTGCATCATGCAGGTTGGCTCTTGTGAGTGACATGTTACACTGTGTTGGAATGCTGTGCATTTGTATTTGTCAGCAAGTTACAAAGCCATGGATTAATTATTTATTACAGTCAAAATATGAAAAATGAAGAAAAATAAATGGAACCAGCTGGCAACTTCATACAACAAAACTCTGGAGACTGGTATGCAGTTGATACAGTAGGCTTGTGTTTTGGGGGTGCTGCATTTTAAAGCTATGCTTGCCCATCCAAAAACCCCAGTAGGTTTCTGAGTGACACGCTACCAGTGCCAGGCACAGGAGGTCTGCTGTCCATCTGCTCCCTACTGTCAAAAGATACCCAGCACTAAGTAATTTTTGCATAGTTTTCAGTCTCTGGGACTTGAATTGTTTCAAGAAGCAAGGTTTGTTTTTTAGCTTTGCTGCTAGGGTCACTATTAGGTAATTAGCCATGAAGAACCAATGACAGCAACCAGAGATGTAAAGCTGAGGTCCTCACACTTGCAGTCATTGGAGAGTTTGTGACACTTTACATAAGGGTAGGGGTCTTGGGCCCTGCTCCTGGCTGAACTCCAGGCCAAGTAATTACATTCTGCCTATCTGAAATTCCCCCTGTAGCGTCAAGTGGGAAAGCAACTCTCATTTCCTTCTCAAGGCAGTGGCGGGTGCAGAATGTCTGCCACAGTGCCTGGCTGCATTTTAGCAGGGGGTGAAAACATCAAGAGCTGCAGTCACCGACCTACTTAGCTTTGCAGGTTTGCTGGTGAGAAGTCAAGCCCTTACCTGCAGCCTTGATAGCAAAATGACAGCCCTTTGAAGAAGATACAAGCAGCAGTGCTGTGAATAACAGCAGGGGCAGACCTGTAACATAGAAGCAGGCAAGATCTTACCTCTGTTCTCTCTCTCTGCCCAGCCCATCCTTCTCTTTGCTGTGATGGCTTAGGTGTGTGTATGGTAACTTCTCTCTGATGCTTGCGTCTCCTGCTCAATTAGCTGAGAGACTGGGACAGCCTAAAAACAGGCTGTCCCACACTGCTGCCAGACTTACCAGCCACCCTGACCCTGTCTGGGCTGGGGACACCCCCCTGTCAGACTTGAAAGAATATCCTAGCTATCATCACAAGAGGCATGACCAGGCAAAAGATGTGGCTATATTGCAGCCTTTTCATCAGTATGGTTTCTTGGAAATGGCAAAGATATTGTGATGTGTTTTGTGTAGTTCACTTGGTGCTTACAGGGTTGGGTATGGTTTCTTGGAAATGGCAAAGATATCATTGTGATGTGTTTTGTGTGGTTCACTTGGTGTTTACAGGGTTGGGGACACTTCAAGTGAGGCAATTACCCCAAGGCTGGGTATGCTTTCTGTCTTCTGTAAGGCAGGGTATGCTCAGCGGGGCAGTTGTGCTGGTAGGTTGGTTTTTCATGTTTTAAGGGGTTGTTGTTTCCTTTGTGAGAGATTCTTGCTCTCACTGGTTTGGTATTACTAGCCTGCACCTCACTGTTTAGCTTTATGTTCAGGGTTTTAAAACCAAACATGTTTATTTTTCTCTCTTCCATTAGATTTTTTCCATCAGCCATATATTAATCCATTTAATTAATTATTTTACTGTTTCTGAAATGAGTTATGTCTATAGTGGAAGCTGAGTGTTTAAAAAATTCTTCCCTGTATACTTGATTTGTTTGTTATTGTGCTGAAGAGTCATAAAATGTGAGCCCTGTGGAGCTCTGTGACAGCTCTGGGTTCTCTGGCAGCTCTGGGTGTGGCCATATGGACGTGTCAGAGTGTAGATTTTCCTTCACTCACTGGTTATGGGGAATCCATGCTACACCTACATGTTGCTGTGCATACAGGCTGAGCTTGCCACAGGCTCTCTTTTGGTTTTTAAGGAAAATGAGGTGTTCATTAAGAGGCTCTCCCTGCATTCCATGCAGTGTGGTGTAATAGCAAAGTGCTGGTAGGAAGAAGAGCAGTGGGGTTGTTGCTAGCTGGGGTACCGTAAGGACATCAGCTCTGAATTACACAGTGCCTGTGCCACAGGTTCCTGGAGGGTGGGAGGGTATCCTGGAAAGCATTATTGCATTTTTGCTGTGTTCTCATCCTCTCCCTCCACTACCACCAGGAGTGGGACCCTGGCCGGTCCTTTGATCTGGCCTGGCCTGGCCCTTAGCAGTGTGCAGAGTAGTTCCTTTGCAGCAAGCAGTCCTCATGCTTCTGTGTTTAGCTCCCTGTTCTGCAGAGGTGAGCCTTGCTTCCCTGTCTTACTTTCCATCCCTTGCTAAATCCCACCATTCCCTGGCTGTTTGCTGGCACTGGACCTTTCTGGAGTGTTAATGCTGACAAGTGCCTACAGCTGCTTCCCATTGCCAGCCAGGGATTCCGTGTTTGTTACAGACATGCTGGGACACAGTAAATCTAATTTCTCTCCCTTCTCCCACTGTTTGTCTGCTGTGTCCAAGGTGACCACTCCAGAGAGTAACCATCTTGCCTGGCACTTTAATATAGTGCTAATTCATTGTTAATTGCTGGGGCAGAGAAACCTGATTCCACTGGGAAGGCCATGAATCAGGCTGTTGTCTCTGGAGTGTCCGGGTGGGTAAGAGGGTTCTCTGGAGTAATGAGCCACCACTGCAGCAAAGGACCTTCTATTCAGAGAGTGTGGGAACCTTGCCTCTCATTTTCTCTTAAGTTGACAAGTAGATCTGAAGCTAGTAGGTACATACGTATTTAAGAGCAATCAAATGTTGCTTTCTGATACACTGTTACTTTTGTCACTTTTTAAAAATGACATCCGTCCCTTTTATTTCTCAGAAGCTTTGATTTAGAAAAATCTGGCAATATATAATTGTTCAGATCATAAATCGTGGAGGAACATTAGTAAATAAAAGAGGACATAGTAAAAAGCTCTAGGAAAGCTCTTCTATATTGTGTGTTCACTGCAAACATTGTAATCTCTCTTTAAATATGCAGAAAATAACACAGCACAGAAGTAAACAAAATACTAATTTTATAATTTTGTGAGAGAAGGGAACGAGTATTTTAGACATGACAATGAAATACAAAAGAGCAGAACATGGAGCCCTTCTAAAAATGGGTCAAGGCAAGTGGCGATGGCAATCCAATGAAACTAATTTCATATTCTCTTTCTAGAAGTAATAAAGAGGGGGATGAACACCACAATAGTGCTTCCTAATGAAACGTCTGATTCTAAATAATGTCTTGGAGTTCATGGGTCACATAATGCATAGCACACAGATGGAAAAACCAGTGAGACTTGAAATTTCTTAAAAAATACTATTAATTTATAATACTTAGGAAATCTTCGATGATGAGTGAAGCAAAGCTCTGTTATTTCATAGGGGAACATGGTATGTTTAATGATCCATAGGATGATGTGCACAGTGAGGTTTTGCTGTGTTTGTCTGAGTTACACCAGGGGATTTTGCATACTGGAAATTAGGACTGAGTTGTCTGTGAGACTTGGACAAACATTACTTTCCCAAACTGTGCTAGCTCTCCGAGTCTGGTCCTTGCTGTTTTGATACACATTTTTTGCGGGGATGCAGTGCCCTGTGATTCATTCTTAATGGCTGCACGGTGATAGTTTTGCTTTTTGATCATTTCTGTGCACCCAAAAGACAGACCATAGATTGATACCCACTGCTTTTTGACTCCCCAGTTCTTTAATCCATGGCTGGATGTGATGTCTGCTCAGACAGGAGTGGTCAAGACTGGTGACATAACTTGTGCTCAGCAAACCCAGATGGACTTCAAGAGAAAC